AATTATCAGAAGAGCTTAAAAAATTAATAAATGATACAGGACTTATTTCTGATGATAGTGATGATGATGATGATGATGATGATACAGTGAATGATTTTTCTAGTGAAGATGAAGAGGTATTAAATAATATACAGAACCAATTTCTGGATATATGTGAAATCATGGATTTAAATAATGAAGTATTTTGTGATAGTAATGCTGAATCTTCAGTTGAAACTAATCAATTTATGAATTTTCTGATAATAATTATGATCCATGAGATTTAGTAAAAGATACCTTTGTTGAAGAAGATGAAATTGAAAGTGAACATAATTCAGAAAATAGTTATTTTCATGATCATTGAAAAGTTAATGAAACTGATGGAAATAATTATTTAGAACAAGAATGTTATGATATTTGGAAATAATACAAATGAAGATGATGATGATGATAATAATTCTCAAAAATTAGTTAGAAAAAATACAAACTAGAAGAAACATAATTTACATAGCTCTAAGGTTGCGGGAGAAACTCCTCCAGAAATCAATCGACAGAGTTTCGACAGGTTACACATTAATTGTTTATTAGAGTTTCGGCAGAGTTTCGCATTTGGGGTTTTCGCCAATCATCAGAGTTTTGACAGGTTACACATTAATTGTTCATTAGAGTTTTGACAGAGTTTCAACAGTCATTAAGAGGTTTCGCCCACAACCTTACATAGCTCATCCAAATTTGACTCAGACAAAAGAGTAAAAAAATAAAAATTTATTAAATTTTCTCTTTATATTTTAAATTTTAAATGTAAAATACAAAACAAGTTTAAATAAAAATTATTATTGCAGATTATTACAAAAATTTTTTTATGAAAATGGTTTATTTTTCTCGCCAAATTTTTTCTTTTCGTCAACTTTTACTCTTTTTCCTTTTCGTCAACTTTTACTCTTTTTCCTTTTCGTCAATATGCTCTTTGCAGTAAATTACATTTCGTCAGTTGACTAAATGTTGATCATTTCATCAGGTATCATTAGTGCAGATCATCTATAATCATTAATTGCTTATAGTAACAATTGGTCAACTTCAAAATACTAAAACAAAAAATAATTATATCATTTTAAAAAATTTAATATGACTTAAGCTACCTTTTGCTAGAAAACCCCCCCATATAATATATTGCTGAGAGCTATAATTAAACTATATGTATAAAAAAAATTAAAAGTTGGTACTAAAAATAAAGACTTGTATTATTAACTAAGTTCAAATTCTTAGTGAATGTATAAGTTAAACTTATGGGAATGACTTTTAAAATTGCTAAAGTTTATTTTAAACTAAATAACTTCCATCAACACACAAATATCTGTTAAATATTTCTTTTAACTTCTATACTATATATTTATGATCCATGAAACTAATTCCTTAGTTTTTATTTTATACATGTTTAGTAATAGTTGTTTTAGTAATAATGGAAAATAACTAAAAAAGAGAAAGGTAAGCAAATAAATATTTTTATTTATTTATTTAATATTCCACATTAGATACAATACATGCAAACTCATAATTACTCTTTAGAAAAATTTAAAAGAGCAAATAGTTGATACATGCTTTGGTCCTAATAATCCATATTATCATGCTATTACAATGAAAGGAGATATATCAGCTGGTAATATATTTCCATTGAGTATACATAAGGAAACTATTTCTTTAAAATTAAGATTAAACAGAATAATTCAGTATATCTTACCTTTTATGATATCCAAGAAACAGAAGAGATCATAATAAGATGGCCATCCCACAAATTTTAATAACATGAATGGACTATGAAAACCATCATTTGGCCATTTTAAAAAATTTTAAGTACTGGTTGGATATTGGTTGTTTTATCTATTAAACATGCAGATTTGCATCAAAAAAAAAATCAACAAAGAAATTTTACTTGCCAGGATGGTAAAAAATTGTGGTTGAAAAAAAAAGATAGAAATGATGAACTAAGAATAGTGCTCAAAGAATAAATAAATATTTTTGTGTATATAGTATAAACTAATAAAAAAAACAGTAAAACTTATTATAACAAGCACCTGAATCTGTTTGTTATAACAAGGTGTATGGTTGAACAGGAGGGAACGTCCTATATAAGGAATGGATTTTCACAATTGATTTCAATTTTTTTTATACAGTTTAAAATAC